CATAGTATAGGTATATAGTATAATATAGTATATTATATAACCTATAATAAATTATAAGGGTAAAACAATACTTCATATGCTTATTGTGTTGTTTTAAATAATGTTCCTTGTTTTTTTTTAAATCAATAAAATGACATTATATGCAACTAAATATTAATAAAATGTACAAACAATTAATATATATTTTTTATATAATAAATCATAATTTTTCAAAAAAGAAGAGTATCTTTCTTGAACAATAATTTTTCAAACCTAACGTACTTATTTGAATTCATTTTATTGACTGTATCTTATATAAGGAAATTTATTAAGATCAAATTGAATGAGAAAAGAGAAAAAATTGTTTAGCATGCAATACGTATAAAATACTGTGTATATATACATATATATGTATATATATATATTTATGTAATAGACGTACGATGAATAATAAAATGAAGACACGTGTCACACTTATAAACGTACACGAATCCTTATGTAGAAAAAAAAGAAAATAAATAAAGAAAGAAAGAAAGATATGAGAACAAAGGTGGTAAGCTAATGTTAATCCTTGTAAATACAACACTACTACAATTTCCAAAATAACATTTAAAAGATTAAATCGATAAGAATCGATCATGTATGTATTTTTGTAATACGTGTGTTTATACATGTGTATAACGTTGTAATAGCTTTTTCCTTTTCTTTCTAACAATACTCTTTTATTATTCAAATTAGGACACGTACGTGGTTTCTTTTTGTATACTACTTGAATCAAAATCATTATCATTTTTTATAATACTATATCATGTATATATATATGTGTAATATAATTTTATTTTTTGTTATTACATAAAAATAATTTCTATTTTATACAACACATTATTATTATTATTATTATTATTATTATTTTCGGAATCATTTTCTAAAAAACAAACTTATATAACTAATTTTTTTGTCAATTATATATTATAATTTTTTGCTCTTCTTTTTCTTCTTTTTTTTCTTTTTTAAATGAAAAGAGAGACAAACACACAAAAAAAGGATGAAACGATTTAAAAATAATTACATGGTTTGTTTGTTAGTAAAACAAAAACAAAAAATAAAATAAAACAGAAATTAGAATCGTTTCATCATAATGTGATTTTAATTGATTTGAAAAAGCGCATAATAAACGGATAAACATCATTTTCTCTAATGAAAATTATTGAACTTTGACACAATTAATCTTATTTATTATTATTATTTTTCATATTATCTAATTATTGTGAAATTTAGATATAATTTATAATTAAACGAGACAAAATAAATGAAACAAGACAAAAAGAAATATAAAATTCAGTGATTCTCAAAGTGGGCAATAATATCGCTCTCTTATGGGTGGTGAAGCAATCTAGGGCAAGGGT